CTTAAAAAAATAAAAAAAAAAAAAAGACCAGCCAGAACTACATAGTGAGACTCTGTCTGAAAAAGAAAAAGAAAGGAAGGAGAGAGGGAAGGAAGGAAGGAAGAGAAAAGAAAGAAGTCGGGCGTGTTGGCACCTCCCTGTAATTCCAGCTCTCCTGAGGCTGAGGCAGGAGGATTGCTGTGAGTGGGAGGCCAGCCTGGGCTACATCGCAAGATCCTGTCTCAAAAAACGAAAAAAAAAAAAAGCAAAAGCAAAAAAGGTACATAAAATTCTAAAACCCTTGTCTTAAGGTACTTCCTTCTTAGACTATTTGTGTGTATTCACTAAAACAAAACTAATTTTTTTTTTTTTTGAGGTTCAGAGTGGGAAGTATTTCTTGAGAGAAAGGAAGCTTCTAAGAGGTACAAAAGGGGCCCTGACTGGTGGCCTCTTTTTGGTTTTTTTGAGACAGGGTCTCGGTAGGTAGTCCTGGCTGACCTTGAATTCGAAAGATAACAGGTGTATGCCCCCCTATTTGGCAAAACAAAATTATCACAAGTTTTACAACTCTGCTTTAAACCCCTGAACATGGAATTTAACTTAACTATATTTACCAGTTACTTGGTACAGTGTTTGGAACATGGCTGACCACAGTGAATCGCTTTCCTCCTAGTTGTTTTGAAAAAAATTTGAAAATGAAGTTTCACCTTTGTCCCTGGCGTTTGGCCACAGTCCAGCCTGCACGTGTTTTGTTTAGCCAACACAGTGTTTCCAGATATTTTTAAAGTATGTGTTCTCACTCCTCAGAGATTGAACCCAAGGAGCGCCTAGCTACCTCCCCAGCACTTACTTATACTGAGATAGTGTTACAGGCAGCTGAGTTACATAGAAATATAGGCAGTCAGACAGGGCCAGGCCCTCGAAGGAGCCAACGTGAAAGACAGGATAAACTATGTATCTGCTGTGGGCCAGATCTCAAGACTAAAGACTGAATAAATGCACCCACATACCTCCCTAGGGATGGACCGCAAGAATTGATATTCTAAATAGGTAGCGATCACCTTGAAGAGTCACTAGCCCAACCCCCTACAGGGAAAGCCCCTGTTCTGTATTCATGCCCCCTGGCTATGTGACTCACTTCCCCATTTGATCCCAATTTAATCAATTTTACCTGAGCAATTCTTACTGGCTGACCATAGTTTTGTCCCACCTCATGTCCACCTACTGGTTTCCCATTTTTTCCATTTCTACCTTGGACCCGCTTCACCTTGTGATTTACTTTATAAAAGTCCCTAGAAAAGACAGTCTTGGGTGACCCTCTCGGGGTCCCCCTTCAGTCCTCTCGGACAGAAGCTTTCTTTCCCTCAATAAATTCTGGTTTTAACCTCTGTTGTTCCTAAAATTCATTCTTTGGTTCTAGAGAACACGAACTCATCCCAGATATCGTTCAGGTTGGGAGTTTCTTTACCCTGTATCAATAGGGTGTCTCTAAATTGCCCAAGCTGAACTAGGATTTAAGATCCACCTTCCTGCCTTAGTCTCTTAGTAGGTGGGATTGCTAGCAGATACCTAGCAGATATCTCTAACAATGGGCTACTTTTTTTTTTTTCCCCTCCGGTACCGGGAATCGAACTCACGACCTAGCGCTTACCAGGCAGGCACTGTGCCACTGAGCTAAATCCCCAGCCCCAGTCCTTTTTTTCTTTTTCCTTCTTTTTTTCTGGGTGTTGCAGATCTTGCTATGTTATCTGGGCTGGGTTTGAACTGAGGAGCCTCTCACCACAGCCTCTGGAGTTCAGACTTTTCAACAAATCCTGCTGCAGCGAATGTCCACATGAAAAGATTAAAAGTTGGGCTTTTATCTTATATGAAAACGGACTGAAAATGGATCAAAGGCTTAAATGTAAGAGTACAGTAAACCATAAAGCAAGGAAATAAGAAAAATTTATGTGATAATTCTTTGGAAACATTTCTGCAGATACACAGCTAAATACTGTTAATTTGATATGTCGGAGGTATGACCTATTTCCAATTTAGAACACAGTATTTCCAGGATTTAGATAACTTTTCCTGCCCCTATAAAAAGTACAGTAGTTAAAATACATGTTTTGGTATCTAAACAATGGTTAATATTGGATACAAGGTATTGTTAGAAATACACTCTATGCCAGGCATAGTGGTGAACACCTGTAATCCCAGCGCTCAGGAGGCTGAGGCAGGAGGATCTCTACTAGTTCAAGACCAGCCTGAGCTACCTAGTGAGTTCAAGGGCAGCCTGGGCTACATAGTGAGACCCTGTCTCTACAAACACCACCACCCACAACAAAATTCGTTCTGAAAGTAAGTGAATAAGCAAAAACTCGTACATTACTTCATATGGAGTCTTGGGTTGAGGTGTAGGAGGTTCGTAGCCCTTGACCGCTATCTGTTTGCACACAGCTCCCTAATCAGGCGCCTGCTCTGCAGCTCTCCACACTCACTACCCCACAAGTTGCGATTTCCACGCGGCCACAGGAGTTATTTGCCTTGTATGGAGCTTATTCAGTTGATTACCCTGTAGAAAACTATTTCTCCATACCAATGTCTTTCCCAGAAGTTAACAAACAAAATATACATTCAAGGGTTGTTTTCTTACAAAAATAGAAACCTGTACCTAATTCTCTGCCGTGCCCACCAGCCAGCGACAATCGTGACTGACAAGCAGTGGGAAATCAGTAATTATTTGCCAGCGAACAAAGACCCGGTGAAGTAAGTGATGATGGAGCCTGGGACTGTAGTGGAGGCAGAAGAGGCTGCGCAAAGACTCAGACTTAACAGTTGTCTGAGGCGGGGAACCGGTAGAATTTGGTGCTGGCTTTGGAGGACAAGGAAGAAGCAATCAGGATGGTGGGAGCCCCTGCGCGGCAGAGGGTCTGTAGTGCAGGGAACGGGGGGTGGTAGAAGCCAGATGAAAAGTGCAGTTTTATTTTATTTTATTTTATTTTATTTTTATTTTTTATTTTTTATTCCCGTACTGGGAACTGAACTCACGACCTTGCGCTTGCCAGGCAGGTGCTGTGCAGCTGAGCTAAATCCCCAGCCCCGAAAAATGCTATTGGGCGTCATTCGAGACAGTCAAGGGACGTCCCCTGAAGGACGCGTGACTGGATGTGTGGCCCACAGCAGTGAAGGCGAAGCTTTTAGAGCTCTCAGTATCCCAAACAGCGTGCTGCGGCGCGCGTGCCAGAGGTTCGCCACCACTGGCCTCGCGTGCAGGAGAAAGGGGAACTGAGCAAAGTTAGAGCCTGAGTCGCTGAAGCAGAGCGAAACCACTTGGGTGGAAAAGGTCCCGCGAGCTTTGCGCAGTGAGACTGGAAAGAGCAGTGAGGCGGCCGAGGGGAAGGGTCAGAACGGGGCAAAGAAACCGCGCAGTTCTGAGGAGGAGCGAGTGCGGCAGGAACGGGTCACGTAGCACCGAGGCATCCTGCAGAACAGACGGGAGAGCGTCTATTGGCTTTAGCCATACAAGGTCAGTTAGGAGTTTATTGTTAGGTTTGGGGCTTCAGCAAGATGGCATCGGATGAGAAGTGAGCACATTGTGAGAAATGCAGTCCTATGGTTTAGACCTTTTTGCTGCTGGGGATTGGATCAGGAAGCCCACGTTTTGGAGACAGGGTCTCCCCGTGTAGTTCAGCCTGGCCTTGATCTCACTATGCAGGCCTGGCTGGACCTGAACTCACAGAGATCCTTCTGCCTCAGCCTCCTGAGTTCGGGGATCACAGACTCGCTCCCCCACGCCTGCTATGAAGCACACCCCATGTATGATAGACAAGCCCTTGACCACTGACCTATATTCCAGCCTTCTTCACCTGTCCCCTTTATTGAAATTGTGTCTTGAGACAGTGTCTCATTCAGTTGTTCACTTAGGCCTTGGACTTATGATGCTCCTGTCTCAGCCTCCTGAGTATCTGGGGTTACAAGCACGCACCTCCACAGCAGGGTTAAACAGTTTAATGGAATCTGGGTGTCTTAGTTATGTTTCTCATTG